GGGAGTGGGTACCAATCCAGTGGCGTTGCCTTGTTATTTGTAGGTTAACAGGAAAAGCTTCTGCGGATGGGGTTTTTGGGTCCTGAGGCCATTGTGTCTGGAGATTCTGGGGGCAACAACTCCCATTATCCCTGAGATTACAGAGCTATTCAATGGCTGTGGGGTGTGGCGCCATAGGTGGCGTCCATGGTGGTGAAGGGGGAGGGGGATTAGTACCAAGCCAGTGGATGTTGCCTTATTTGTAGGTTAATGGGAAAAGCTTCTGCGGATGGGGTTTTTGGGTCCTGAGGCCATTGTGTCTGGAGATTCTGGGGGCAACAACTCCCATTATCCCTGAGATTACAGAGCTATTCAATGGCTGTGGGGTGTGGCGCCATAGGTGGCGTCCATGGTGGTGAAGGGGGAGGGGGATTTATCTGGGAGTCTTCAGGAGTTTTTCAAGTCTGGGTTTTAACATCTGGGTTAAATCAGTCCATGAGGATTCATAGGGGGGAAGAGGGGGGTAAAGGTTACTTTTGTTGATGGGTGGGTTTTGTCTGACTTTGTCAATTTTTATTTTTGGAGCTGTTGAATTTGTTACCGGGCGATCTTCAGGATTTTTTTTCTTTATTTTTTTAGGGCTGTCGAATCTGCTGTTGGGAAATCTTTAGGGTCTTTTTCATTGTTTGAACCCTCCCCTTTATTATCCCCTGATGCTAGTGAGTTTTCCTCAGTCTTGGGTGGGTTTCCTAAGCATTGTCGAATGGCTGTTATTATGGGAAGAAAGGAAAGGGGCAAATGGTGCCTTTCCTGGATTTCCTTTTTACGAGCCAGATAGGCAACATTGGTCCAGACCTCTGGGTCAGAAATGTCTGCTGACAGGATCCAGGGTGCGAATTAAAATACTTCATTCCAAAATTTTGAGCTTTCCTTTTGGGAAATCTTAAGTCCTCTTGATTTAAGTAGGGCTCTAAAGGAGCAAATTTGGAAGGTTTTTTGGTGTGATGCTGAATTAGCCATTATAGAAAAGAAAGGAAGTGGTGTCTGTGGTGTTCAACATTCCCAAGGCAGCCTGCCATGGGGGATTGAGACACTTTGACAAGCACAAGCCTAGCCACAGATTTAAGGGACTGGCAACCGTCCTTGTGACTTTTAACTGGTTGCTGCGTTACCAGATTTTTATGATAGTTGTAAAAGTTACTGCCTACACCCAGTCGGGCTGTCGGGGTCCAGAAAGAGGGCAGGGGGCCTTCGGCCAATATCAGGGAGTTGCCCTAACCACGAGGCTTCAGTTGCCCGCAAACCATATCCAGACCCTCACGAAGGCAATAACCAAGATAAAGCAAAGAGAGAGAGAGAGATGGGGTAGTCCTCTGATGAGCCCCTTCCCCAGAAAAAGGTTTACAGGAAAAAAAAATGGCTTTTTAAAATCTTTTTTTGTTGTTGTTTGTTTGTATGGCACAAGCCACCTCGAATTTTTTAAGAGCTCCGTAGGGGCTAATTAATTTAAATTCTCACCTAACTGGTTTAACCTGGGCTTGAGCACCCCAGGGGCAAGATAACAAAACAGATCAGGGAAGTTTATTTTAGAAGTTGACCTTAAGGCTTATATAAAGATCCCTTAGAATTTGGGGGATTTTTTTTCTAGGGGTGTTGTTCAAGATAGAAAAGGAAAGTGGGGTGAAACGCTGATTTCTAAGGGAACATGCCTGGGATCAAAACCCCAAGTGATTCCACGTAGTCCACAGCGCAAGCCTGCCCGCAAATTTAAGAGATCCGGCGACCGCTCTAAGAGCAATTAACTGGTTGTTGCATTACCAGGTTTTTGCATTAGAAAGATGTATAGATGGGGGGTCTTGTCTACACCCGTGCGGGCAGTTGGGTCCATTAAGAGGGCTAAGAGCCTTTGGCTAACATCAGGGAGTAGCCCTGATCAGAAAGCCTCAATTGCTCCTTTGCCTTTAATGGTCCCACACGAAGTCTCAGACCGAAAATAAAAGGAGGAAAAAGAGGAGAGACTGCCAATCCTCAACGGTGGGATGGCTTAAAGGCAAAGCTGCCGTTACCCTCCTGATGGGAGGCGGTAGGAAAAAGAGAGACTGCCGATCCTCAGGGGTGGGATGGCTTAAAGGCAAAGCTGCCGTTACCCTCCTGATGGGAGGGGTACTCACAAACTCTGCGCGTTCCAGGAGCCTCACGTTCGGGTGCCAGCTGTGGGGTCTCTCCCTCTCCTCACGGGTCGTTGGCCACTGGTCCACAAGGACAAAGGGAGCAGAAGCGACGAACAGGGTCAGGACGGCCAGTGAGCACTGACGGAATTAAGCCCTTCCGGGGAGGCAGGTTCAACAATGCAAACAGCTCCAGACTCAGTGAGACAGCTCTAGATTCAGTGAAACAGCTCCATTTATTCAGTGGGAGAACTGGGGAAAATATAGTGTGGAGGCAGTAGCCAATGCTTTATTTACATGTGGCAGTAGGCTCCTATCATCCGACTATCTGGCAATGCCTAATTATCATATAGAAAAAGCCTGGGGGTAGTTTTTACTCCGGGTAACTATGCCAAAGGTCATGTTCCAAATAAGGTCAGGCATCCGTGCTTGGTTGCACTTTCCAGGTAAGTCAGGCAGAGAGCAGGAGCTCCCCTGTGAGAAGGGGAGTCCTTCCATGTAGCACCGAGCTTCCATTTGGCGCCGAGCCCCTTAGAGCTATCCGGACATGGAGGACTACAACCCTAACAGCAGGGTTTCCCAACAGATCCAAATTTTAATTAAACAGAATGTATATTTATAAATAATTCTTTAAATACAGTACAAAGGAATAAAGTAGTTGAACACATTAATAATCAAGTAATGTATTTCAGTGTGTAAATTCTGAGTCTGGCTCCACTGGGAGTTGTAGTCCAAAAAGCAGATGCTTACACCAGTGTATAGATGTACTGGGGTGCAGTCGTTATAAACGTGCACCATTAACAGTATATTGTTTTCATTGCTAAAAAACCAGCAGCCTTGCCATTGTTAATGTTTTGTTTTTCCTCAACCAATGAATACCTCTATAAGTTATCAACAAAACAAGGCATAATCTTCCTTTAAATCACATTTTACTACACTCATTCCTGGGAACACATTATGTGTGAAAGCTACAGGGAAAAACTTCTGATTGTATCTAAGCACAGTGGGCTTCAGGTTCAGAGAATTACAGGTTTTCCACCATCTGATGGATATTCCAAAGAACATTAGGTCTGGTGGAGGGGTGCTGTGATTGAGTAAGGAGGAGTGGGAACTTGGAAAGTGAGGATGTCAGGAAGAGAAAGAAAGGGTGGCCCCCAAGCCCATCAGAGGAGCTGTGTTCTTAGGAGGGAGGATTGATTTGAAAGACAAGAATACATGAGAGCTATCCCAGTGTGTGAGGGACATGGGAGAACAGCTTCTAGGGGAGCAGCCAGGCTCTAACATTTGGAGATGCTTCAAAAAGGTGTGGAGGACTGTCCTTAAGTTCAGGGGAACACTAGGATAAGAAGACAAACACAGAAAGCACACCATGGAAACAGTTACCAAGTCAAAGATGGCTTTTACATTTGTTTGTAAAATAAGGCTTACAAGGTATGAGAAATGGCATTAATTAAGGTAACTTGGGGCCCAGTCTCATGTTAGTGTTAGATGCCTTTGAATGGGAGACAAGCTGTGTGAGGGAAAGAGGCTGGACTGGAAATCTGGGTGTTAACCAAATGTTGGAGCTAAATTAGAAGCGTGGCTGAACGTTTCTTGTTAGATGGTGGACTTGTAGCCATTACCAGATGGGGACCATACACAGGAATCGGGTGGGGAAAGTAATCCAATTTAGTATTCCAACTTGGAGCCCATTGGGCATGAATGATCTGTGGCCACAGCCAGGTTAAGGTACTTACATACAGTAGCTATCATTCCACATGCATACTATGCCAGATGCTACCAGAGTGTTTTGTGTTGTTTTGTTTTTTGTCTTTTTGATGCAGGGTCTCCCTGTAGCCCTAACTGGCCTAGAACTAGCTATGTAGACCAGGCTGGCCTTGAACTCATAGAAATCCGCCTGCCTCTGCCTCCTGAGAGCTGGGATTAAAGGTGTGTGCTACCATGCCTGGCTAGAAATACTTTTTAATGTGTTTCATTTCCTTTTAACAGTCCATCAAGGTGAATACTGTTGTGATTTTTCTACTTGAGCTTTTAGTTTGTTGTTCAAGATTTCAGTTGTCGATTGGATGAAAAAGTCTTTACCTAGTCCTGCTTTACTGTGGCTTAACTAGGTGTGAACGTTTTTTTTTTTTAATATTTTATTTTATTATTTTTATTTTGTGTGTATGAGTCTGTTGCCTGCATGCGTCTAAGTGTGCCCATGTCATACAGTGCTCACAGAGGTCAGAAGAGGTTGTGGGATCCCCTGGAACTGGAGTTAGAGATGGTTGTTAGTGGCCATATGGGTGCTGGGAATCGAACCCGGGTCCTCTGAAAGAGCAGCCAGTGCTCTTCACCGTTGAGCCATCTCTCCAGCCCCAAGGTGTGGAGTTTTGTTTGGTGTGCTCGATTTCCTGTACTCTGGACCTGAGAATATGTGCATGCTTTGAGCAGTTAGACAATTTATTCATAGTCATTGTTTTCCCAGGTATTGCCTCGTAAAATTTTTCTTTCTTGTACATCCTGGTTGGATATGTGTTAGATTGTTTATATCTTTTTACAGGTTAGGTTTTTAACCTGTCATTCTGTACAATTCTAGGCAATTTCTGAGTATTTGCTCTTTAGTTGTATCTGACCTGTTATTTGGCCTGTTCTGTGAGTTAAGACTGTCCCTCACTCACAATGTGCCCAGTTTTTTGTTAGCTGTCTTGGGTCATGGATGCAGAGGAAGAGCCTCATGGGGATGTCTTACAGAATAAGCATGCAAAGTGCATCATTTTTATGAAAATACTTTTGAAATGCATGCCTAAAAGTGTACTCTTAATGTTTCTTGATTTCTGAAACCAATCCTAAATATATCTTGTTTGTTGGCAGGGAGACCTTGTGAGAAAATTGAAAGAAGATAAAGCTCCACAAGTGGACGTGGACAGAGCAGTAGCTGAGCTCAAAGCCCGGAAGAGGGTTCTGGAAGCAAAGGTAAGTTTTAGGGTATTAGTGAGAAACATTAGGATGTATAGGATGTTTCTTTTTTTTCTTTCAGTTTATTATTTATTTAATAATAACGTACTTAGAAGAAACATTGCATTACAACAGCCTTAACATATTCAATAACAATTTTCTACCTAAGATGCATCTTTTTCAAAATTGGCTGTAAATTTTTAGGTTTACAGTTGAATTGTTATACAATATTTTACTCAGTATAAACCCTATAAGACAGAATTGAATGAGGATTTAACCTTTAAAAAAGAAATCCATTTCATTATTAAAATACACAGTTTCATACAGAAAAATTCATTTTCAATGCAATTGACATTAAGATGTTTGCACATCCATTCCTAATCTCTACATATCTGATTATTACTAGTGACAGTCGGTTAATTTCTGAGCTCCTTGGCATCTGAGCATGGATATAAAGTCATCAGGTAGATTTTGATGGTAATGCTTTTCACATCTACTAATTATTGTTATTTTTTTAATTATTTCATAACCAAATGATTAGAAGAGGCATTTCATTACAATAGCATTGACATATTCAATTACAATTTCCAGAGCTAAGATGCTTCTCTTTCAAAATTGGCTGTTATTAGGTTATAGCTGAATTAATACAGTTATACAATATTATACTCCGTATAAACCCTACAAGACATAAAATTAAATGAGGTTTTAAACTTCGAAAAAGATCTCCATTTCATTATTAAAATACAGTTTCATACAGAAAAATTCATTTTTAATACAACTGACACTAAGATGCATATGCGTTTCTAATCTCTATATATCTGATTATTACCAGCCACAGTCAGTTACTTTCTAAGCTCCTTAGCATCTGAGCATGGATATAAAGTCATAAGGTAGGTTTCACTGGCAATGTGTTTCACATCTACTAGTTATTAAGGAGCAAATTTTTATGCTTTGAAGAATTTTTTTGTTTGTTTTATAGACCCACTTCCCAGGTAGCACCTTCCCATACCCTCCCTCCCCCGACTAGAGCCCTTATACTTTGATATCCCTGCTACTGTATGCTGTGTTGTTGGCACCCCCAGCCATTCCACACTGCGTGTCCTTCTGGTAAATCTATTCAGCCTATCTAGAGGTCTTTGTTTTAGGAGGGTCAACTGTTCTTCATCTAGCAGCAATCAGTTGTCAATATTCCTTTGGATAAGATTGGGGTCTGCTGTTCAATTTCCCAGTTCTCTACTGGGAACAACACAAAAGGCCAACAACACAAAAGGAGGTATCGCCTGTCTGGCATTGTTGTTTGCTATGTAGCCTTTAGCTATACATATGGTCTGTTATGAAATTATATTGGCCCCTTTAATCTTTGGTTATACTTTCCTTTTGGGTGTTTTGGGTGTTGGTCCAGATAAACCGATTTATTTTTACTCTTAAGGTCGTTTATTTTTACTCAGGGGTCACATGGGCTTGAGAGGAGCCCCGGATCCTTTCTTTTACCAGTTCCACCTATGTGAAGATAAGTCAAAGGTCCTGCTTGACCATGGCTGGCTTCACCTGGAAGCATAGAGGAAATGATACTCCGTGTTGACCCTCCTCTTTATGGACTGTACACTGGTTCAAGTCCATCTGGTGGGATCTCCTCGGCCTCCTTGATCAAGAGGACAGGTGAC